TGTCTTTGCCCAGGGACACTTCTACATGTAACTGAACTGGAGGGGAATTGAACCCCAAACTCTCTCATTGGAGGACGACTCCCCTAACMAGTCAGCCGCCYAAAGGTGAACCTGCAGCCTTCTTGCTGTGAGGCGACGTCGCTGAACCCCGCTCCGCAGAGCCRCCCCAAAACTCAGGGACTTTTTCTAAGCTGTGTGTTAGCCAAAAGCTTCACCTCGCAAGGCTGCAGACAAAGAGGAGTGCAGCTGTCGCACTGCCTGGGTCAGCTGGAACAGTTTGGTTGACGTAGTCCTCAGTCTCTCTAGACGAGCAGCTGACGCCTCCTCCTCTTTCAGCACCTCCTCTAGGTCAGACTTGCTCTCCTGTTTGAAAACATAAACCCAACCAAGACAGCATTTAATAGTTACGTAATATAAAATACCACTGATATAAGYATACACTTTCAATTCCCCCCACTTTTTGTATGATGCCTATTAAAGCAGCTGTAGAACGTAAAACTGGTCACGAGTTGCAGCTAAACGGTCAGTCTGTAACCCCATTTCCTAGTTCAGTTCTCCAATTCTCCAAGTTCAGTTTAACCAAAGCACTGTGCTACACCTCTTTGTTCACAGGACAACCAGCCAGCGTCTGCCAAAGGCCATAACTCTGGTTTATTATCGTAGAGGCAAAACGCTACCGCACCTATAAGGGTCCGTTATTGGTTAAACAAAAAAATGCTGCTACTTTGTGCGGCTAAGATAGCTTCAAACAAGCCTGTTAGCTGTGACTTATGCCACTTCATTCAACACATTCATTACATGAATGATCGTCGAGGGATGAGTGCAGAGAGATAAGCTTGCAGAGCATTGAGCTTTACAGGAGCAATAAAAGGCTGAGTGGCATTTTTAACAGGGTTGTTGGGTGAGTGGGTATTTAAACTTGTGTCAAGCTGGAGGAATTGTTCTGGCTGAGCTTGCATTCTGTCGTTTCAGTCCTGACTTCACAATGCAAGTGTTGGTGGTTAGGCCAGTCGCGATAAGCAATAAATCAATTAATACAATAAATTAAAATGAGGTAGATAATTTTCATTTGCCTGCTTGTTTGTTTTCTTCATGTCTCCCTCTTTTCTACTCATTAACGCAGGGTGGAGCAAACTCTCGCATCAGGTATTTACCAGGTGCGTGGTCTTGTAGCATGAGAGCCCAGTGAAGAGGCTATTAGCTAAAGGAGCTTTGCTTTCTGACGGCTTCTTTCAGCTGGCGATGCCTCAGGATGCCCTCAGGGCACTGTGCCGAACCTTGGGTTTGTCGAAAGGTTGTTTTTTTTTTTTCACTACGTAAATTTTGTAAAGTTCTTAATTATTTTATGAAGCCAGAGGAAAGCATATAAAGAATAAATTGTGTCGGCTAGGATAGAGGAGATGAGTAGCGATGTTACAGCTTCAGTAGCTGTTGTGTGTTTTCACAAACTCCGTCTCTGGTCCGCACATACGTTACTTTACGTAAATTTTGTAAACTTTCATAAACTTCGTAAGCGGTGTAAAGGTGACCACACTTATTTTATGAAGCCAGAGGAAGATACATACCAAACTAGATACCGCATAGCGGTAACATAATGACCCCCGCACGCACAAATGCACCAGAACTCAGA